GTGATGGGAAGGATTTTTGTGTTTTTTCGCGTTTTGATGTAAATTGACGTATACTGATGGTTGTACATGGTTGTATAGGTTGTCGTACATCTACTTGAATCCTGAACAGTGAATCAGTGCATTGTCCTTGGTCCTGGACCAAGTGGATTGAGGTAAGTGATTGTATTATGCATGTGAAATTGAGATTTGGCATGCATTTTGTGAACTTTGAGGAAGTGGGAACGTCCTATGTGTAGGCGTTCTGTTGAGTAGCAGACTTGGAACTTAAGCTGCTGCGGAGCTAAGTGAGAAAACTATTTAAGGTAACCTCTTGGTACTGGGGTTTGTTCCCCTTTTCTGTTCCACCTTGCCAGTTGATGGCAACGGTAGGAAGTGTATATGAGTAGTGTAGAACACATGAGCATGCATGCATTATTACAGTGGGTACTTATGTACCGAGTCTCTGGCCAGTAGACAATTTTTCTTAGCCTTCGAGCAGTTTCGGACTTCCACTGGATAGGTCACCGAGAGGGAGTTCCAGTTGACCGAGGGTCATGGTGTGTGATCCGGGTAGGAGCACACTTGGAATGTCTCTGGCGTTTTGGATGGTTGGGGCATCATGGTTGTGGTTTTTGGAACGCACCTTGGATGATACCCATAGGCTTATATATGCCCAGGGCGTACGTGGTATTGGTAGCTACCATCCCGTATCGTCGTAGTTTGTATCTCTATATTCCCCGTTTCTCTAAAACCCTTGCTATATCCCGTTTTAAAAAGTGGTTGTTGTATTCTATTCATATGCATCGAAGTGAACCATTGGGCGGAGTTTTCTCTAGAACCTCTGGGTTACTGAGATATATTCGTATATCTCACCCCGTCTCGGGGCATTTATTTCAGGATGTACCTGTGGCATTGGAGTAGCGGGCAAGAGGCCCGCAGAGTGATAGAGGAGCATTTTCAGTATTTGACATATTGTTCATGTTGGCATGCCTAAGTCTAGTAGTTTGTATCATTTGAACTTATGTTTGAATTTGTAATTGAAGTTATAATATTGTAAAGGGTAATTTGAAGTTGAAGTTGTAAGTTGTAATATTTAAGTATATGTTGTAAATGTAAAAGAGATGCATGATATACCAGGATGGAAGGACTTTAGGCCTATGTTAGAGTTATGATTATATGCTTATATTGTGAAATTACATGTAAAGGGGACCTTTGTGATTGAAACAAGCAAGGATTATAATGTGAGTTATATAGTATAAACTGTGTAATAAATATAAACTGGATTGGGTTGTAAGTGCCCCAAGGCGTTGTTGGTCCTTGTGTGTGCCACCCATTGGATTATTACTGTATTATTGTTGGATTATTAGGTACTTTGAGGCATTAGTGAGCTTGTACAAATTTGGGGATTATTGGAAAAACAAAGGAAAGTCTGGCGAATTTTCTGTAGAATTTGCAGATTTTTAGGCGAACTTCGGGAGAGAATATCTCCCTCTATAGAGGTCCAATAGGGACGTGCCATACGCTACTTTGAAGCTTGAGATGTCCCCTATATGGTGTTAAAATATGATCCAGTTCTGGGTTGTACGCAGCCCTGTGGAATTTATTGAGTTCGGACGGTCCAGGGACCTCTGATGCAGGGGCTGTTCTGGCCAGTTTTTGGGAATTTGATTCCCACTTCGTCTCTTAGTTAAATTGAGCGTGTGATACACCAAAATGAAGTTTGAGATGTCTAGTTTGTAGGATAAAAATTTCAGAGCAATTGGATGAGTGGATTGTGCGCAGTAATTCGAGAAGTGTAAGTGGTTTTGGTGCTATTTTGGGGTTGGTTGGCTGTTTTGCTTATCCAACTTCAAACGACGATAATCGGAGGAAATGAGCTCCGAATTGAGCGTGTGATAGCTTGTTGAAAAGGAAATTAAGTAAGACAAAGATATAATATGAAAAGAAGGTTTGGTTGTGAGCGGTGTGTTCGAAGAAAATTGATGAGTGAACCATGTTCGAAAAGGTAAAAACGTAAAGCTTGGTAATTGGCTAAGTGGGTTTATGGGAATCCCTTAGTAACTTATAATAAGTATATTGTGATGTAAAAATAGATAAAATAAATATTCCGCAAGAGTTAACAGTTATAGTCACAGCTTTTAATTATTACGCGTTTTATTGTTTTAAATGCTCGCGTAATAATCGGAAAAAGTTTATTCGTATTTTTGTAAATGAATTGCTGTGATTGTAACTGCGCTTAATATCATAATTAATGTTAACAATACCGGTACGTAACAGGCTGTTACAGATAACATTAATTTTGTATTTCGGACCATTGGGGATAATTCTAACCATGATAATTTCAACCCGATTGACAGTTTAATATAATCTAAGAATAAATCATATTACCCAGCCATCCATGGCATATGCTATCTCATTCATAACATGTCTCAAAATACTATCCATGAAGCTACTTACGTGATTACATCAACCAACCAAAAGAGATGTAATTAAATAAGTAACCTAGACATATGCAGACATAACTAACAAAATAGATAAACTATCAACACGATATAGACATCTTCTATACTCATCAAAAGAATACGTGGCATATATATCTCAAAATAATAACACATGTCATATACAAAATGAAATGTCAATCAAATCACAACTATCAAGTCAGATAGCATCTCTCCTCTGGTCTCTTGCCACGCGATGCCTCAGTAACCTCTGCTACTGTATCTGAAATGGCAATCCCCATAACGCAGGGTGAGATAATATAATTACCTCAGTACGCTAGGGATCCTTGGAGGGCTCCTCCACCCCTAAGCTCACTTCTGCCATAACCATAAGTATAAAATTCCTGCATGCATCAGAATATGTATGACAATGCAGTGTGCAAATAATAGATCCTACTGGTCAGAGAATATAACAAGATGCATTACACAAGGAAACACCGTCTTATGCCTCACACAAGGAAACACCGTCTTGTATCACCCACAAACATTCATACATATACATGCAACATATAACAATTCATATCCGCATACCATATGAAAGAATCACCCTCCCTTAGAGTTTGGTGGAACAAATGCGAGATTAACACAAAGTCACAATCATGATCTCTTACAAAGTCACGACCTAGTTCTAAGATGTGAAGACAATCACTATTAATTTATACTAGTCTACCACATTTAATTAAACCTTATCTATTATTTATTTAAGCCTTCAAAGCTTTTCACTTAACACATACCCAATGGCTAATTAAATTTTGACTTAAACTTACTCTTTATGTAAGTTTCAAGGAAATTAGGTTTTCAACCCAAAGTTGTTTCCAATGAAATCTCTTCAACCACTGGGTCACTTTGCTCAAAATTACATAATCAATAACATGAATAACCATTAATTTCCATCATCAAACTCCTTCCAAACCTTAAATATCATAAGAGTTAATACTTTTTGATGACTAAAATCTCAAAGTGGTCTAAATGGTGAGCTCATTGATTTTTCCTTATCAAGAAACAATCTTAAGCATACTTTGCAGAGGAACATTCATCTAAATCACTCTTTAACTCATCACACCATTAAAATTTCGAATTTACTATTAATCAAAACCTAAAATTCTTAAAATTTCATGGAAACAAGAAAAGAGAAGTGATTCCTTACCATAATATACCCAAGAATGAAGGGAAAAACTTACATCAAGCTCCATCAAAATCCATATTTTCCATGAAATCCGAAATCTTGGGGGAAGAAGAACTCTCGCTACAGTGAACCCCACACAAAAGTATAGGTACCAATGTATTCCTCTTGAAATTTCTAACAAGTTTGACTTTGAAACCAAGTGATTTAGAGGTCTTTAGCTCTATTAATTTTGGAAATTTTTCAAGTTTTCTTGTGATGAAGAGTGCCTCTAAGAAAGAAAATGAGGGACAGAGAGAGAGAGAGTGCTTTTGTTTGCTTAAGTGAGTTCAAATAATTCAAGTGGGTATAAACTTATTTATCCTGCTCACTTAACTCATATTCCAACATAACACTTTGGTTTACAATATTTTTGTGGTAAAATTTCCACATTTACTTTTTACTTTTGGATAACTTTGCCTACCTACATTTTTATATATTAATTGTCATCTTAAATCATTTTTTACCAAAGGTAACTTTATTTGTTTTCTTATACTTTCTCCTCTAATTATTCTTCAATATTGTGATAAAGTCATTAATCCATAATTAAATCCATAATTATATGTGATGGTTATTATATGTTGCAATATGTTGGAGGGAATAAATTAAAATTTTCCTTTTTCTATTTTCATTGTCTTGGTTTTTTTTTTTGGCCACAACTTGATTCAAAATATAATTGCATAGCTTTAAGCGAGCCTTGGTATTTGGCATGCGTTTGCAATAAGAATCTCAGTAGATAATTGGTGACACGATATGTTTTGCAATCGAGAAAAAAATATTTGTAAGAATACCCGATAACATTAATAATAATCTGTGTACAAGAAGATTATTACTTATTGAATCAAGAAACGTAGACAATGTGTGATTGTGTGTTGTTTTTTTTTCTTTTTTCTCATCAAAATTATTTTGTAGAGTAGTCAATGAAATGAATATTTTTTATTTAATTTTTCCTATTTTGAAAGTTAAAAGTCAACATACAAAACCGAAACAACTGAAATATGTTTTCTAACTTTGACTTTAAAAACTAAAAAGTAGATATAACTTTTAGAGCTATTTTTAAAAAACAAACATTATGCAATATTTTTTTTATTCTAAAAATTAAAAATCTATTTTTTGAAACAAAATTCAAACAGACCCATAGTTTCCATATTGAACTTATCAAAAGAACGAAGGTGAAGATATTTTCCTTAAAGATGAAGTATATCAAAATAAGAGTGACTTTAGATATATAAATAATATTTTACTGGATGATCAGCTATACATAAGACATGTCATTATATTAAACAACATATTTGTATATATCCTTTTTGAGCAAATAAAACAGATGATTCTAGACATACAACCTAATATATTACATATTTCTAGTATTTGAAAACTTGGACATTATCCTCTATAAAGTAGTAGCAATTGGTGGTGATCAACTCTATGTAGTAAAACCATGCTTGTCTCCAGTAAGGATTGATGTACAGAGTCGCTGCAATTGCCAACAATGCTGATGTGTATGACACAACAAAGCTCACATAGAAAACATACATGTCAATTGAACTATCATTGTCCCCATCAATGTACGAGCCATTTGGTAAAGTAGCAGGTGGCTCTTCAAGAGCATTGCAACTTTTGGGTAGTGGAGGTCCACAAAGAAAAGGATTGCCCTCATAGCTACTTTCGTCAAAGGTAATAAATTGGCCTTTCCTTTCGGGTGTTGCACCAGATAAGTTGTTGTGTGCCACGCTGAATACTTCAAGGGAATTTAACTCATTTAGTTGAGGAGGGATTTTGGAACTCAACCTGTTAAATGAAAGATCAAAGCTCTCTATCTGCGCCAAACTAGAGAATGTAGCTGGGATCTGCCCTGTCAGGTAGTTGTACGATAAGTTCAAGGCTCGAATTTTTGTCAAGTTTCCAAGCTCTGAGGGGATACTACCTGTCAATTTGTTGTAGGATAAGTCAATTCCACTCATATAACCAAGTATCTCCCCTGTATAAGTGTAGGAAATTGTCTTTGTAGTGAAGTCTGCTTGCTCTCGTATATCTGAAAGTGGATTGTTAATATAATCATTATAGCCAAGAATTCCAACTTCCATGTCGAGAGAGCCCTCATTCTGAAACGGTATTTTTCCCAAACAACTTGGTATTGGACCAGAAATATTGTTATGAGAAAGATCTAGGATTGTTAAAGTCATCAGTTGGCATATTTGCTTTGGTATCTGCCCTGAAAAGTGATTACCTTTCAAAAGGAGAATTTTCAAACTTGTATTACTGAGTTCTTCTACCAAGTAGTTAATGCTGGTAGGTATTTCATTATATCTAAGGTCTAGTATCATTAAACTATAGTAACTAGAACCTTTTTTGAACATCTTCTTTGAAAAGCCACTGAACCTATTGTTGCTCAAATAGATGTATTCCACGGAAGAATTGGCAAAAGATGGTATAAGACCAGTGAAATTATTTTGTGAGATATCCAAATAAGCTAGAGATTTAAGTTCCACAAATTCTTTTGGAATAGATCCTTCAAGATGATTGTTGGACAATGAAAGTAACATCAAGTTTGAATAATTTCCTACCAAACTTGGAAGCTTTCCCACTAAATGATTATTGCTTATATTCAGGATTGCCAATGAAGTGTTAAAAAGGCTACCCGGGATGCTACCAGAAAGGTTATTGCCATCCAAATACAACAACTTCAAGTATTTCAAAGTTGTCAAAGTGGGAAACACAGGTCCATCCAGCATATTGTTTGAAAGTTTCAAGAATACGAGCTGAGACCTAACCCCAGATATGTTCATTGGTATTTCTCCAGACAAATAATTATTTGATAGATCCAATACTTTCAATAAGCTCATTTGGCCCAACTCACCAGGAATTAAACCTTGGATTTTGTTCATAGACATCTCCAGAGATTGCAAATTTGGAAAGATTGAACTAATATTTTTTCCAGGGATCCGACCAGTTATGACATTTTCAGACACATCAAGTCTCCAAAAGTTGAGAAGGGGACGCGATGGTAGCTGGAAAGTACCAGTAAAAGAGCAATTTCTAATAAGGAGTTTAGTCATTTTTGTGTTGTTTTCCAACAACCATTTTGGAAACTCTCCTTCCAACTTACAACTAGTGAAATCCAGACTTGTCAAATTGTACTGGTAAAGAAGAAAACTAGGAAGCAGAAGAGACTTACTCTCAGTTGTTGAAGACAAACTAAGCACTTGTAACTGAAATTTTGGAATCCAAGTTGGCAAACTAGCTTGTGAGTCGAGTATGACTCTGTTGCCTTCACCATAGATGAACTTGAGGTTAGAATGATTGGCGAATGGTGTGAATGAAACAGGGACATCAAATTGGTTTTCTTCAAAACCAAAATACTCAAGTTATGAAAGGCTTGCAATATTGGAATCAAAATTTCTAGAGAACTGATTATGAGAAAGTTCCAACTTCCGGAGAGATGTCATGTTAACAAAAGATGAGGGAAGTGGACCCTCAAATTTATTGTAGCTTAGATCTAACTCTTCCAGCTGCTTAAGCTTGGACCAATCTGAAAAATGAAATTTTAACAAAAATACCATCTTAGAAGGGAGATAATGTAAAGGACATAAATACATTCAAACAAGGTATCATTTAACATGACCACAAAAACTTTTCTACACACACAATATTTTGTGGGACCCGCATGTTTTAAAAAAAAAATCACGGCACGCAAAACGAATCTCTATAACATAACACAATCATTTTTCCTATAATATAACTCTTATAAAACCCTTCAAACAAACTTAAAACAAAAAAAATTTGGGCAGAAGAAATACGTGTTGCATAACGTAAAAGGTAATTAATAACTGAAATGAATAATACAATTACCTGCAGCAGGAAGGGAGCCATTTATCTCACATTCCACCATAGACAAAACTTTCAAAGAAGTCAATTCCCCAATACTTTTGAAAAACTCTTTTTCCAGGTTAGAACTGTCGTCCAAAGCCAAGTGTTCTAGGTTACTTAAATCACCAAAATCTACACAAAAAATAACATTAATCTTAATTTAACAAAAAAAATAAATATGAAATTACCTCTAGCAACAATTGTTCCTTTAAATTCGTTGTGTCTCAAAGACAGCACCCTAATAGATGAGAAAGCTTGTAATGACTCCCGTAGCTTGTTTCCATTTATCTTATTACCATCTAAAACAAGGACATCCAATCTTCTTATAGTTTTTGAGCCTGAAAGATGTAAGGTGGGTTAAATGTAAACTGCTTAAGCAGAATATGACAAAGCAAATGCATCTCCACTAAGTTCAACAAGGGGATAAGTAGATCTCGTTACAAATGCAAATACAGGAACTTTCAGCTAAATATTGGGATTGAGCAGCTAGTATCATGAATTTATCCGATGTATGTGTTGTCCATCACTAAACAATTGTAACATCATGAAGACAGCCGGTTAAATTTTTCTAGAGTAAATACCCTTTTCGGTTCTTAACAAATTTTATGATACCCGCTTCAGTCCCTAGCAAATAAAAATGTTATTTGTGGTCCTAAAAATTTCAAAATGGATTCATTTTCGTTCTTTCGAGGGACTAATGTGGATCTTTTTTGAATTTGTAAAGGACCACGATTTTAACTAAATGGGTCCATTTTGAATTTCTTAGGGACCACTAATAGCCTTTTTATTTGCTAGGGACTAAAGCGGACATTGTGAAATTTACTGAAGATCAAAAAGAGTATTTACTCATTTTTTTAATATCAATTGCTACCTTGATGGATGAAAAAATTGCTGATTTGATTAAAGCCTAAATCGAGAATCTTCAACTTGGTTAAAGCCGATAAACCTGCCAGAGATAAACAACGATTTGATTATTATATTGTTATTCATACATGGTAATATTTTTTCCACTTATAAAATAGAAGTATAAGATCAGAAAATGTGCCTTGGTCTAACAGAAACCACAACATAAATATAATAGGCAGGCAATAAATAACGCTTTGAGAACCGGAAATCATAGGAAGTTAAATATGTAATGAGAAAAAGACAGAATGAGATAATAAATAATTAAAATTAATATTAATTTGATGTGATATAAAAAAATATTAACTTTTATTTATATTAAAAGAGAATGTTATACTTACAATCTTTACAACCTTGGCTATGTATTTCGAAGAATACATGAGTTGATGTTTGTATTCCCCGAATGCATAGACAAGATTGTAAAGAAAAAATGTTGCAAGTACATATATCCTTCCTCTATATTAAATTAGAGACATCACCATAACATACTAAATAGAAATTTCCTTGCACACAATCGAATATAGCAAAAAAATTCAAACTTTAAATTCATCAAGAAGCTTCAAACAATTGAAACACTTTAGGAATTATAAGGGACTTATATTTAATGTTGGTATGAGTCAAATCCAATCATCAGAAGATATCAAATAAAAGAGTTCTAAATTTTTTTAAGCAATTTGATAGAGGAATACTAATGGACAGATAATATTACTCTGGTATCATAATTTAAATAAAAAAGGAGAAAAAGAATAGCATAATTTAATAAATACTCTATGCACCCGATTTTTTTTTTTTTTTTCCAAATATAATCCAGCATTACTGACCACTAATAACAGTACTCAAAAAGAATAAGAACATGTTCTCGTAGAGCCATATTAACTCTAATATAATAAATTATAGATCATGACTGTTGGGTTATTCAAGTGTGAAGAGTTTCATATTAGTTGGTAATAGGCTAAATAAAGTGGATATAAGTGGAAGGACCCATGAACTCAATGCCTTAAGATTTTAGGTTGAGATATGGTGTTGGATCCATTTGGTATTGTTGGTCTAACTTAGTCCATTGGTGATTGTCCCTGGCTATGGGCTCCTTCTGAACCCGCCTAAATCTGGTATTAGAACCCGGTTAAGCTCAGACTAGCTAGGTATTTAGCTCATTGGTAGTGGTCCCCTACCACAGGCTCTTCTTGGACTCGCCTGATAGTGGTACCAGAGCCGAGTTGAGCTCGAGCTAGCCTGGTGTTAGAATAGAGGTGGGTTTGAGTACTTGGGCCCAAGGTACTCAGTTGAGGGAGAGCATATCAATGGTGGATTTCACACACGAGGGGTAGATTGTTGGGATATTCAAGTATGATAAGTCTCACATTGGTTGATAATGGGCTAAGTGTAGTGGAAATAAGTGGATGGACCCATGAACCCAATGCCATAAGATTTTAGGTTGAGACATGGTGTCGGATCCACTTGGTGTGGTTGGCCTAGCTTAATCCATTGGTGGTCGTCCCCTGCCATGGGCTCCTCCAGGACCCGTTTGACAGTGGCATCAGAGCTGGGTTAGGCTTGGGCTAGCTAGGTGTTTGGCTAGAGGCGAGTTTAGTACTTTGAGCCTGGTACTCGGAGAGAAGGGGAGCATATCAAATTGAGGAGAAGATTGTTGGAAATTTAAGTGTGATAAGTCCTATATTAGTTGTTAATAGGCCAAGTAAAGTCCATATAAGTGGGAGGACCCATCTACCCAATGTCTTAAGCTTTTGTGTTGTGACATGGTGTCAGATCCACTTGGTATGGTTAATATAGTTTAGCCCATCGGAGGTGATCCCCCGCCACGAGCTCGTCTTGGACCGGTCGCCTGACAGTGGTATCAGAGCCGGGTTAGGCTCGGGCTAGCCATGTGTTTAGGTTTATGGGTTAGACACCACTATAGCAAGTGAGTCCAACACCACATCTTAACCCAAAATCTTAAGGCATTGGGTTTATGGGTCCTTCCAATTATATATACTTGACTTAGTCCATTACCAACCAATATAGGACTCTTACCACACTTGAATATTCGAACAATCTCCCTCCGCAAGTGTGAAACCCATCATTGACATGCTCCCCTTCAACTTAGTACCCAGACCCAAATACTCAACCCACCTCCTAAGCTAATCAGTAGGCTAGCTCGAGTCGAACCCGACTCTGTCGTAGGCAGGTCCAGGAGAAGCCTGTGGCGGGAGATCACCACCAATGGGCTAACCTAGACCAACCATACCCAGCTAAGTCAAGGATCTCCAAAGGCCTTAGTTTTGATATATCTAGCAATATATATAAAGATTAGTGTTTGAGAGAAATAGTATAAAACAATTGAAGACCCATCACTTACAAGCTTAAGCTAAGCTTTCAGGTGAGATGATTTTCTTACATGAAATCAGAGTTAAGGTGACTATGGGGTCACGAGTTTGATCCTCACCAAACCTATTTTTTAGTGGAATTAAGTTATCTTATTTAGCCTAAAATATTATTAGATATAATAAAAGATATTATATAATGGCTTTTTTATTTTCTAACATAAGTAGGTAGTGCTGACCCCTAATATCGACAGATCCTGCCAATTAATTGTAGCTTAAATATCAAGAGATTTGAGACGTCGCAACGCTCTTAGAGATGAAAGAATATTGAAATTGTTTAACTCAGCCCAAGGACTTGTAACCCGGTTGGCCATGCAAATCCTTCATTATATAATTAAAAATTGAAAATATACAGTTATGACCAGTTCCCACTAAGACTAAGGAACATGTTCTCATAGAGCCACTCTAATATAATAAATTACAGATGATGACAACAAACCTAGAAGCCGTAGGATACTCTCATTCAAGTTGTTCCCACGTAAGACAAGGATCTCCAAAGACTTCAGTTTTGATACATCTAGCTATATATTTAAAGATTACTGTTAGAAAGAAATAATATAAAATCATTGAAGACTTGTCACTTAGAAGTTTAAACTTTTAGGTGAGATGATATCAGAGTCAAAGTAATCATAGAGTCAAAAAGTTTGATTTTTACTGATCCAATTTTCTGTTTGAAATTAAATCAAGTAAACAAAAAAAAAAAAAATGAGTCCGTACAATATTTACACTTCAAGTCCAAATGACTTTTGCACAAGAGAACTAATTAAAAAGATATAATATAAAATCATTCAAGTTCGTTCACTTACCACTCTAAGCTATTGGGTGAGATGGTTGTTATCAATTACAATTACATATATTTTTCAACCAAAATCGAATGATCGAAGATTTATAATATGCAAAGTGTGACATTACTATGAATTGATCTCGGAGTCATTTGGCTATTTCTTAAATTTAAAGACTTCAGGGATGAAAGCCCACTAAGAGCAGATCCAATATCACTTTCATTGAAGTTGTTGTAGGACATGTCAAGGACCTCAAGATTCATTAACATGGGTACTTTGTTGAACCGAACATCCAAGACTACCAGCTTATGTTGCGTAGCGACACACTCTCCAAGGTAGACCTTACATTCGACACAAGAAGTTCTATCTTCTCTTCTAGCCAGAAAGAAATCAATCTGACTACGATTATGGCCACTATGATAAGTGATTAGGTGTGACTCCCTTTTTTGAAAAAATGTGTTCACTAACATCAAATCGTAGGCTAGTGCAACATTCAAGATATCTTCTCCAGTCTCGTTTCTCGTCCCATAGCCAAAACCTCCATGGATTCTATCAAAACCTCCATTGCTTTTACCAACATGACCATTTAGATCTCCTCCTACGAAAATCTTCTCCTCTCGAGGTATTCCCCTCAAAACCTCCTCCAAGTCTTCCCAAAATTGGCTTTTATCAGTTGGTTGCAATCCAATTTAGGGTGCATACACACTGAGGATATTCAGGATTAAGTCACCCACAATAAGCTTAACCAGAATAATCCTGTCGCCTTTCCTTTTGACGTCCACAACTTTATCTCTGAGACTTTTATCGATCATAATTCCAACACCATTTCGACTCTTGTTCATACCTGTATACCATAACTTGAAACCAGTTCCATCCACTTCCTTGGCCTTTTCTCCAGCCCACTTAGTTTCTTGCAAACAAACAAAATTCACTTTCCTTCTAGCAAAAACATCTGCCAACTCCCTCAGTTTACCCGTTAAGGTTCCTATGTTCCAGCTTCCCAATCTCATCCTTAACCCCTGGGCTGTGCTTGCCCGCCACGCTCGCCCATCTGCGTGTTGGGACCCTGGCATACTTCTCACCAAATCCGGGTGAAGACCTGGCGCCTTGCCTTGGGGCAAGGACCCTAGCCCACTTATCACTACACCCCGGGCCCGATGCAGCGCCTTGCCTTGTGGCAAGGACCCTTGCCCATTTTTCGCTACACCTGGGGCCCGATGCAACGCGTCGCTATGAAGGGTACGCCCCAACGAAAAATCATATAGGTTCATCACATAAAAATATAGCTGTTTTTTACGGCCGGTTCGCAACACCTGACGCCAACCCTCCTATAATAGCCCATCTTAATTAATTAGTAAATCAAGTGTAATTAATTAATTAAACATGTTTTAGTGAGTGAAATTAAGTATAAGGCTTAATTAAATGAATCTGAGTCACTTTGGAGTTAAAAAGTGTACTCAGTGAAAATTAAGGGGTATAAATGGGTACTGGCAAAAGTACCCAAAATATAAAAATAAAAATAGTAATATTCCTAGAATAATATTCCAGACTTTTGGGTAAAGTTTGGTAATTATTGGAGTTGAATAGATAGACGAACCAATACCCGCTTAAAGCCACTTAACCAATGTTAAGTGACCAAAAGCCAAAAGTGAACCCATTTTCCCCCTGCAACCCGTCGAGAAAGAAACAGAGAGAAGAAGAAGAAGAAGGAGAAAAGAGGAGGAAGGAAGGGAGGAAGAGAGAGAGAGATCAAACCTTGATGGTTTTGGATGATTCAAAAGCCTAAATCGCTTAGAATCTCGCCCTCTTTCATAATCCAAGCTTAGTTTTAAGTGGGGAGCTTTGTGTGGTGGGATATTGGCTCTCAAAAATTCGGCCCTTTGGAGAAATTTGGGGTTTTGAGAGTTTCTACCTCCATTGAAGCTTGAGGAGCCATCAATCCTTGGTTGTGTGACCATTGGTGGTAAGATTCTAACCCTTGAACCTCATAATTCCTTGAAATTTGCATGAGTTAGGGTTTGTGAATAGTAAATTGGGATTTTTATGAAATGTAGTTGAATTAGCTATGTTCTAGGAAGAATGGAGCTTAGAGCATGTTATGGAAAATGCTAGGAATGTCATTTAATCGGTGGAAATGAGCCTAGATAGTCATTTGATAATTGTTCATAATATTGGAAAATTCATGCTTGGATTGGTTAGTATTCTAGCATGTTGAACAATTAGTGAGTTGAATGATTGATTGGATCCTTGTGATGTCTAGGATTGAGACATTTGGACCAACCGTGAGTGATCAACCATTGGAGCAAGCTATGGAGCTTGAATAGCTCATTGGAATTGGTAAGCTCACACTTGTGTGGTGTTTTGAATTGAACATTTGATGGTTGATTGTGAAATACTCTTGGATGCAATGTGTTGATTGCATTACACCATGTGTAGGTGTTGGTTTTGGAGTAGAGTATTGTTGACATTGGTGAAGAACAAAGGTCGACTGAAGCATTGAGGTAAGCCTTCGGACCTTGGGTGTAATTCCCTTGATTGTTCCACCAAGCCCTGAAAGGGTAGTGGTGATTATAGTGTATATAAATGCAATAAAATAGTGTAATGCTTTGTTATACGTATGTGTATGCATTTGGTGTGGCATAGGATGGTGTTTCCCTATGTGGGTATGTGGCATGACGATGCGTAAATCATACTTGGTAGTTAGCTGGCCAGTAGGACTATTTGCATCTGAGTTTCCTTAGGACAGCTTGAGAGCTCGAGGGATTTCTCCTGGAGATGTATTGCACTTTGCATAGATATGTATTTACTGCATTATTATTGTTATTGCTATTACACTGATATGGAACTGTGGGGTGGAGAGATGCTCCAAGGACCCCTGGTTTACTGGATATATTCGTATATCTCACCCCGTGTTGTGGGGACCCCCTTTCAGGTAAGGATGCTGCAGGAGCCTCTGGTGGCAAGTGGCCATACCTAGATTATGCATAAAATATGGCACTTCTTTGAGTTTATGCATGCCTTTTGTAGTTGACATGTATAGGATTTTATTTTGAAAGCCCATGATCATTTGTATATCTTGATTCATTGGATGAACTTAGCCTATGCTCATGCCTTTGGTTACACCTTTCGTTGATGGGAGCCAAGGGAATGATCATAGTGTTTTGTAAGCTAAGTTCTATGATTTGTAAAGGATATGTAATGTAAATGATGCCTACTTGGAATTCAATATATGCATGCTTGTTATGTATTGAGTTGTTGAATTGGTTGGGCTGAAAATCAATTAGGTACCCTCTTCGTTTAAACTGGTAAACGATGAGAAAACAAAGGTCATGCTGCCCAAATTCTAGCTAAATCTCATGAGGAGAGGTTGGATGAGTGCTAGGATTTAGTCTTGGGGCATGGACATTTGGGGTTTGTAATGGGGATGCATTTTCCCCTAGGCTTGGACTTGAGAAATGTGGGAATTGGAATTCCCTGGCAGCGCGCTTAAGCGCCCAGGAGCGCGCCCAAGCGCCCTGCTGCCCCTGCGAGTGCCAATGCATTCTGCCTCCTTGCGCTGGAGCGCCCAAGTGGGGGCTTAAGCGCCCAGGATTGCGCGCTGGAGCGCCCTGGCGTGCGCTTAAGCGCCCTTTGCTGCAGAAAGTTGGGTGGCTTACTGCCCCCTCGTGTTTTAGCGCCCAGGGTGGGGCTTAAGCGCCCAGGGTTGCGTGCTTGAGCGCCCTGGTCCGCGCTTAAGCGCCCTTCGCCACTGAAGGAGGAGATGCTTCTGTCTCTGCGCGCTAAAACGTCCCCGTGGGAGCTTGAGCGCCCAGGATAGCGCGCCTGAGCGCCCTGTTGCGCGCTTAAGCGCCCATCCACACTGGAATGCCTGATGCTTACTGCCTCCGTGCGCTTAAGCGCCCAGATGGAGGCTTTAGCGCCCGATAGCGCGCGCTTGAGCGCCCGGTAGCGCGCTGAAGCGCGCGGGGCCTGTGACCAACACTCTCTTGTGTTGCTTCAAATTGTCCTAACTTGGACTACAGTGCTCCGATTTGAGCACGGTTTGAAGCCACGGGTAGCTAATGAAGAAACCTACAATATAGTAGAAGTATTGAACTAAACAAGAAGTAAATTAATGGTTTAAAAATGGGAAAGGAACATGATGTTAAGCTTAATTTATCTGTTTCCGCAAAGTAATATGGTTATGATCACGAAAATGGGTATTATACGTTCGGTACGTTTTAAAATGAAAAATTTATCCGGATTTTAATTGAACCCATGTGATTGTAACTGCGCTTAATATCATAATGCGATGTTAACAAACCGGTTCTAGAACGGGGTGTTACACCTCCTCCTTTTCCCTGGCTTGGGACAGGCCATGCATGCAAGCACACATGGGCGGAGTTAAACATTAATATATATATATGGGAAAAATATTTCTCAAGCAGCTTGAGATAAGTTTATCTCCGGCTACTCAAAACTACGTCGTTTTATTTATTTATTTTCTTATATTAATTGATTCACATTTGAATTGTTATTATTGCCTTTTTTCTCTCTCTTCCTTTATTACCATTGATCCATCTTTGTACGATTATGATTTAGTAGCTGGAGATAAAATATATATATATATATATATATATATATATATATTTTCTTTCCTAACTAAATAAAAGTAGTAGATGTAACACACACAACAAAAATTAGTAGTAACGACATTAATTTTTTATATTCAATTGCCTTGCTCGTTATAACCACCCTCTAGGGATAGTTCCCACAAAATAATTGTAAAATTTTTCATCCCTATTGTAAACTTCATAAACTCCTTCATATTCAGAAAATAAAAAAGAGGAGCAACCTCATCATATGTATAATGGAAATATAGTCATAGAAGTTCTTTCTATGCTCTTTTAATATTTTGTAATAACAAATTATGTATAATAGTTCATATTTATTTCCATCCATCAGTGATATAACTTTTATCAATTTGGGTTAAGTAAAAAGCAAGTAAAGAGTATTAAGAATTCACCCAAAAAAAAAAAGTAGTCTTAAGAATAAATTTTATTTTCTATTATTAATTTTCTTTGTAACAGAAAATAACATTTAAGAGTTTACTTGATTGGTACTTATCTCTCTATCACTCTCACTTTTTTCTCTTATTTACTTCTCTTGTTCAACATTGTTTATGTTGGTGTTTCAAGGCTGCTGTTGATGTCCTGTTTTGTAGGAGTTTATTAGTTGTTTTTTAAATTGATTAGTCTTTTGTTTAGGAGTTTGTTTACTGCATTTTACT